GGCTCTGAATGCAAATTTATCGGCAATAACGAGCAGCTCTGGGGACTCAGGGAAATGGATGTACTGAGCCCCGGAGTGGGTCGGAAAGCTGGAGGCAAGCGCCAATCCCGGTTTGGACGGGGAAGCTCTGTGCCCTGCGAGAACAGGCTGGGCCGGGGGGGAGACAGGGTGGCTTTTTTGGTGGGGACCTGAAAAGCGAAGAAGTTTGTGCAGCTGCATGGCCAACCCTGGGCTCAAGAGGGCAGTGCTTATGGTAGTGGATACCCCTGAGTTATTTTAAAAAGAGCGTGAATAAGCATACCATTAGCTTAAAATCAAGGTGGGTTCTTTTATTACTGATACTGGCAATACGACATAACCACTTTTTTCTGCTGTAGAGATGTGATTAGAGATGTCAGTCAACTTAACCCTCTTAACAGTATTTTTTAGTTCTCTTTTTCACCTCGGCTGCTGTATTGTGCTTGTAGCCCAGTAAACCACCTGCCCTTTCCCTGCCATGCAGTTCTTAATGCTTGTCGCTGTTGATCCCTCTCAATCTTGTTTTCATGTAATGTTTCTCAGGTATTGATTTAATCTCTGGTTATATTATCTCATCCTGTCTCTGTCAGCATGGGACATGGGACTGGGAAATCCGTGCGTGTGGATTTCTATTCTCTAAATTCTCTATAGAAATTCCTATTCAATTTAATAATTGATATCCTCATTAATCTAGCCTATTACACCATATTTTATAGCCATGAAATTCACTGGCAAGGAACACGTTACTTTGGAGACAGCTCCTGTACAATATCTCATACTACAGATAGGTATTGCAGACAGGTGCTGCATTTCACGTAATGAACAAATGTCTGTGAAATCTCCGCAAATCTCATTGCAAAACTGAGGTTTGAAAAATCTTGGCCACAATAACTTTAACTTTAAAAAGTCACTATAAATCCTGCTTTTATTTATTTTTCCCCTCAACGATCATCTTTGTGCCTACCAACTGATGCTTTTGCTTGGTCAGCTCTGCTCAGAGAGGTGGCTCCCTGCGGGTTGTCTCACCCATCCCACTCTGAGTGCCCTCAGTATCACAGCAAGGAGGAAAAGCTGCAAGGAACCTTGTTACGTCTTTAGGTGTCTTTTCTATGATTGTGTGAGGCTTTCTGTTTCTCGTGTTAAACTTGTTTTGCTTGAAAATGATTTTTCAGATGTTTCCAGTGGCGTTGACATCTCCTCTGTCCCATCCAGTGGTGCAGCCTCACCCCTGCGTTGTGCCTGTCGTTTGGGATACATTGCTCACTCTCTTTCCAATCATTTAAATCTCTTCCCTCTGTACGAGCGGCAGTTAAATCTTTATTTGACCTGTGCTTGTGTTGCAGCTCTGTGCAGTTTTTGAAAGGCATAGGAATCCCAATCGATTTGGGTGACATTTGAATAGTTTAAGTACGAGCTATCTTATGGGGATTTGTCAGCTGGTGCGTTGCTAAGGCTTTGCCAGCTGGAGTCCAAAGGCTGTGCCTGATTTACCGGCAATAAAGCCCATTGCACCAGCCTTCATCTTTCTTGGAGAGAACCTTAGAGTGAAAGAGAGAGTGGGACAGGAGTAGCTGCTCCTGTCGGTCTCCCCTCTGTCATTAGGGGTGGAAGGACCATGTGCTGCCTTCGTAACGCCAATGCTCTCCGCTTTAACTGGCTCTGTGTTCAGCACTGCATGTCTTTATGCGGCTGACAAATTATATGACAGGTTAAAGATTATTCTAATCTGCTCTGCTAGTGTTCTGGAATAAGCTGAGAAGGGAGCGTTCACCATATGTGCTGTGTTATTCTAGCTAGCGTATCCAACCTTGTTTATCTGTCGCCTTCACACCTCATGTTTTTCTGTGATTCAAAACTGATTTACTGTTAACTGTTTACAGTGGTTTGAACAAGAGAGGCTTGAAAAAGAGACAGGAAAAAGGTTTAATTGCTGGTTTCCCATGTTCTCCTGGGGCTGGATCTGTAGGATTCCCATTCAAGTGATTAAGGAGAGAAGCAAATGGCCCATGTAAGCAGACTTGTTTCCTGGCTATCTCAGCAATTGCCCTCGACACAAGCCGATAGCATTGGATGTCCCAACCTTCAGCCTTTCCTATCCCATTTTTTTCTTTCTGCAGTGTAGATAGACAAGAGGGATGAGTCATGTTTGAGCTCTCGCATTGGAGACCGGAAAGGCTTTTGTGCAGGGCGTTGTCTGTTGCATTGCCAATGTTGGGATTTCTTTTTGTACTTGTTTTACTGTTACAGGAAGCATTTTACCCTGTAGGTGATATCATCCCACATCTTCCTCCGTGAGATCTTGTGAAAAATTTACATAAATAGACTTTGCCTTAGCGGTCAGGCATTGCCTCCTTAGAAACCTGGAAGGGCTGGCTGCTCTTTATCTCTGCGCTGGCAGGATGGGGAATAGCATGTGCAGCCTGTGCAGGGAAGGGTGCTCATTGCTTTTGCGATGAGTCACGAAGCCTAATGTAAAGAATTCACGCTTAGTGATGTGACAACTGTGATGATGGGGTATGGAGCGGGGAAACAGCTAAGGGACATGTTAACTCAGATGGAGAACAGCAGATCTTGGCTGGAGATAACCATGTTGGCTTTCACCCATTTTGATGAAATGAAAGCTGTGTTGACCTGTCTTACTTGTTTAACACCGAGATTCGTAGTTGGTGAATCAGTACAGTAAATTTGGAGTCGGTGAGGTAATTCACAGTTATATCTGAAGACCTCCAAAAGAGGAGGGGACAAGGGTAGCATGGATGAATGACACAGTGAGAACCTTTTTTAAAAATGCTGTAGTTGAATTGATTTATGCAGTAAATTACATTGACCAGCAGAAATGGCATCACACAGCCTTCTCTTTCAAGAAGGCTGAGAGGAAGCAGGCAAGGTGGGAACTGTGGAAAAAAAGCTCTTTCACCCAGTCTTGTGCCTGTTACTGATGCTTCCTCTCCTGTATGCTCTACCATTTCATTTATGAGTTTTTGCAGGCAGTCTCTGAAGGGCGAGAAGGGTTGGGGCAGCTGCGGCCTAGAGCAATAAGTCCTCTCTTTCTCTGCCTGCCTGTCTGTTAGGGGTTTCATATAAGAATATATTTCTCTAAAGTCAGAATTGAGCAGCAAGCAGTTGGTCTGGCTGGAGATGTGAGTTGGTCAGCTTATGGAAAGCAGAGCTAGGGGACAGGGAGAGTAAACTTCTGTACCCCTTTTTCTTCTACGCTGCTAGAACGGCTGCTTCAGTGGTGGTTGTTTTTCTCATCTGCTCCTTGTGGGTCAGCGATTCTGGATCAAAGGATTCTAATGCTGGGCCTTAATTTGAGGTTCATAATTCAGCTTGTTGTCTTTATGCTGCTACTGGGGTGCCTTGTTGTCTTAATGAAGTTGCAGAAATGCTGTGTATCTTGACTGCCCAATGAGAAGACTGATACCTGTGTAAACTTCTTAGTAATTCCGCATTTCCTTTACAGATCCCTATCTGTTACATCTTTGACTTTATAATTTCAATCTAGGTTTCCTGTTTCATCCATAATAAGGTACAGATATAATCAGATTCACAAGGAATAGCTTGCTTGCTCGTTCTCTCTCCCATCCCTGGGTTCAACGCATGGTCGCTGGCACCATGCTAGTTGGGAAACCACTTGCCACTGTAAGCAGCCAGATCGCAATGTGCTTGGGCACATATTTTCTCTCTAAATACCCTGCAGTTACGCCTCCAGCAACTACAAAGGGATGTTACCCAGATGTGGCTTTGCCATACACAGGTATAGCAGAGTAGAGTGTAAAACCTGATGTGGTACGGAAGAGTACTATTGCACTACAGAAAATTTTTCATGTTTCCTGGTCAAATGTTCCTACAGGGGCCTTCTACGTACTTGTCCTATGAGCTGCTGCTGGTTGCAGAGTAGAGCGTGCTGAGGCAGTGCATATGCACGCAGCCTGGGAGAAAAGCCCATATAGGGATTTAAATAGCTTATGAAAATATTTGTCACCAGTACAACATGATGTTTCTCAAACTGGATTATGATAGGAGGCTAAAAGTTTGGGGTTTTTGTTTTGTTTTGTTTTAAGTAGATTTAATGCAAAATTAAGTAGAGGCAGAAAAGAAATTAAGCTCTTTGACAGTTATGATATTCTAGAAATTCTTTGGTGCATCCCAAACCAGAGAAATTAACAACTTCTTGGCAATGGTTAACAAGAAACTCTTGGTACTTCTTTTACTAGATGTGGGGAAAGTAGTTTGAAGCTGTGTTTATTTTCTTCAGTCTTTGGTGGGGAAAAAAAGGTTGTTTTTTTTTCTGGTTAACTTTTTAATTTCTTGTTCCTGTCTTCATGTCTGTTTTGTCTTTTTGCCGTGGTTTTTTTGGTGCAGCTTTTAAAATTTAAGCATCTCAAGGAAGAAATGCTTGGTCAAATTCTGTCCTCAGTTACTTGGGGAAAAATAAGTCAGAAAAATATATTGACTTTGCTGATATAAAGCTGGATGTTCATTGAAGTAACCCATCAGCAAACCAACAGAACTTTATTCTGTTCTCTTTGTTCATTTGCGAATTGACTTGTGTGGTTATGAGGCTACGTAAGCAAAATAGAGTAGGTTATTTTTAATTGCTTGTAATTCAAGGCAGAGGATCCAGCACCTGCCGCAGTGGGGTGACCAAAGCAGTGCTTGTCTTTTGGTGAAAAGGTCAAAACAGAAGTGTGGTGAAAAGCCTAAAAACGAGCCTCAAATAATAAATAATAAATAAATTCTGGCTCTACGAAATTATCCTTTCTCCTCGTCCAAATGTTCGGCTGCACTGACACCTCCAAGCGGATCCTTAAACCCAAGAGCAGATGTTTTAATGCTCTTACGTTTGCTTTGTCAATATGACGCGTCAGCAGCGAGTTGCAGCCCTGCATTTACATGGCAAGCGCCGGGCTGCTTCGGGCTGGTGACTTGCTCTTTGACCTCATTCTTCCTTTGAAGCTGCTGCCGCGGTGCGTGCTCGCGAGCCGTGCCGAGGCACCGCGTCCCTCAGCCCTGCGCCTGCTTGTCTTGTAATCCACAGACAAGAAAAAAGCAGGCAAATTCCAGCCTTTCAAGAAGCTCTTCGGTAAGAGGAAGAAAAGAGAGCCCGCGTCAGACTGCGAGGAAGCCAAACTGAAGCCCAGCCGCTCCTTCGGCAACGTCTGCAACCGATGAAGAGCCAAACGGTGGTCTGAGGTAAGCTCACACGGGTCTGCCGCCGGCCCGTGCAAACGCAAGGCTTGTTCTCCCGGCTTTTGATGGAATTAAATTTAAATTCTCCCTCTGCTGAGTGGTAGCAAGTTGCACGCTGCTTGTTAGGAAGCTTGTTAGCATCCCTGTCCCTCCTCTGAACGTGACACCCGCTGCTGGAGACCCCGAGGTCTCGCTTCTTGCACGTGTTACTTATTGGGTATAGTGTGCCAGTCTGCAAAAAAGAAATCCCAGGGTGAAGCAGAAATTAATTTGAATCCGGCTCCGTGATTTAACAGAACTCCGTGGCAAACACCTGAGTGGAAGTATTAATGGCATCCGTGTTTTTAAAGCTGGGGAAAGGGAAACTTGAACTGGCTGCTACAGATACTTTGTTGCGTACTTTTCCCTGCAAGGGGGTATCTCTGAGTCAGGATGGAGATGTCCTCTTTCGGTCCCTCCCGTAGAGTTTTTGCATTGTAATCGGGGTCAGCAAACAGGCTGCTTTTATTCTGATCTGAATTGAATGTAGAGTAGAAGAAGGAAGAGAGGGGAGAGAGGCACCGGGAAATCAGATCATATTCCAGTGACAAGAGAGGAGAGGAGGAGAGCGTGAGAGTTTGCTGCAGAAATGATGGGAGAAAGAAGCTGCACAGAGTTAACGAGTCAGCAATCTCTAACTAGGAACAGAACAGAAAAAAAACCCCAAACCAAAACAAAAAAAACACCACAACAACAAAAAACCAAGACCAGATGCACAAACTAATTGAGTCAGTAATACTTACCTCACTTTACAACTGAAAGTCTCAGAGAGGTTAGTTGACTCCTGGCCAAAGCCTGCTTCTTTGGAAAAAAAGCAGCTGCACTGGGCAGTGTGAAAGTAACAAAAAATCTGAGGATCAAAAAACCATACCAAATTCCTCGCTCACATGAAAGAAATGTGTATCAGAAACATCACCCTGCACAGTATTTTCAATGGTGCAAAATCATAGCTGTGAAAATGCAAATTTTTTTTCTTTTTTTTTAGTTTTTTTTTTAAGCTTCTGGATTTTTTTTTCCATTCTGTGAAATTCTTTTAAGTTCTACGTTTCCCCTTTGGTTTCTGCAGTGCAGTATTGTGCACCTCTTTTGCCTGTCCCGGCTTTTCAGAAAATCAAGACTGAGCATAGCCACACTGTAGATGGAGTCGTGACTGACTGCTATTGCGTTGCATTGCCTGTGTGCATGATGCCGAGCGACCGTAGGAAGTTACAGTGCCTTTTGCCTCAAGAGCAAACTAGTGAACAAGAGCAAAACAAAGGGCATCATCTCGCTATCAGTGATTTCCCATTCAGTGTAACTCAAAATGCAGTGCTGCACCCAGAAACAAACAGTGATACGGGAACTTGTCCCGTTCCTCAGTGGTGAAGTGAAGGTGTGGCAGACCCATGTGAGACTGCTAAATGCTTGCATTTTTAAACGTATTAATTTTTCTAATTAATAAAGGCATTAAATGTAAGTCTTTAGTGGAATAAACTAGACCGCACAATTTAAATCACAGGGGATTAGCAAATGTGAAGGGTCCCACGACTCATCTCAAGTGGAACATTTCTTTTTGCGCGTGTGATTCGTGAGCGGTGCTTCTGTTTTAGCCTGCTAGAAATACTCTTTTCCCTGTCAGGGAAACTCTGTTTTCCCTGTCAGGCTTCGTGGTGCAAACGTGGGTGGGATTTGATAATAATTTTCAGTTTGCAGGTAGCGTTTGCCACCTTACTCATCTTACAACAAGGATAGATGTTCAGTGCAGTGCATTAGATTGCTTTGGGGAGCTTAGCTTTGATGCCCTTTTCTGTTTTCAGCAGCATTGCTTCCGTCCATTAAATTTTTTTGCCTTTAGCATCATTTCAAATGTTTATGAATTGAATGCAGAGATAACCTGTTTAAGTAAAATAATATACGCAGTTGTTTACAAGTTGTCTGACAGTAAATACATTACCATATCTGCCGTTATTCATATAGAAATGGACTAGAGAAATATAAATAACTAGTGGTGTATTTATATAACCAAGATCTTGAGTAGTTTTATAAAACCATCTGCTTCAAACTCTTTAAGAATGTACAACAACTGTATATATACAAAAGCTTAATAAAAGTTCCAATTCTGCAATGAAAGTTCAGGGATGTTCCCATTCCCTTAATAGAGCTATATTTCTTCATCAACCTGTAAAGTACGTTAATTTGTTATCTGCAGATGTTTCATGTGGACTTTTTGTTTTGTTTGGGGAGGGTGAGGTTATTATTTTGAAAAGATATTAAGGAAGAAAGCTGTTTCAGGAAGGTAGAGGCAAGAAAATAAATGGGTATAGGCTAAGTAAGAGATCTGTATTGCTTCCAAGACCTAAGCTAGTATTTCACTGTGTGGTGTATTGGCTTACGAGCCTGCTCAGAGCTAATGCCTGAACCTCTAATAGAGACTGCGCCGACCGGGTGCTGCAGACGTACCAGGAGCAATTTAGGTAATCTGCATATGGTGTAGATTGACTAGCTGAGTTGGAAGCTGCCTGAGAGATCTCCCTGTCCATCCTTTCTTACAGCAACTTCCTGGACTCATCAGATGCAAATAACTTGTTTGGTATCCTGATGTATGCACACTTCAACCTATTTATTCATCCTTGTTGTTTTGCAATTCCCAGGTGGAAGGTTTGCTACTGCAATTTGTCTTGCCCTGCCTTGTGAAAGACTGGAATTCCTTTTCCCACTTTTATATTGCCCTCCTCGAGTTTACAAAGTTAAAACTGTATCCATTACTTTTCTGTCCTAACCGTATGAGCTGGGAGATGGAAGTGCTTAGTACAAGACAAGTTAAATTGCATTTGTGGAGCTTCACTAAAGTCTCCAGAAGCTTCTGTTCTGAGGCTATGATTTGGCACTTTGTAAGATTTTATATTTGTCTTATTTGTCACAGTTGACTAAGCAAGCATTGTGAGGAAATACCTGAAAGGGCACCTCTGTGCCCCACAAAAAGTTTGTCATTCTGGGCTGATGTGCAGAGGCAGCGGGGAATTACATTTTTCTTATAGAGGGTGCAGTAGAGTAACTTTACTTGGGCTGAATGCAATATTTCAAAGGACCTGGAAGCAGACCTGTCAGGTCTTTAAGACTCAACTGTGACAACATTGATCTTCTTCCAGGGAAAAGTCTCAGCAACATTCAGTCTCTTGAATGTGCCTGTCCATGAAATGGGACTCCTTTATTTGTAAATCCCTATCAAGGTCCGCATAATCCCTGTAAAACTGTTCTCAGGTCGCCTACATAACGTCATCCTCATTACGAAAAAATCACCTAAAGATCTTAGTTCTCTAAGAGGAAGAGAATATATATGCTGAGGAAGACTGCCTGTGAAGAAGAAAGCATGAGAGATTTCCTGTCTCGTAAACAACTTTGCCCAGTATTTGCTGAACCTTTGCCAGCGTGAATTGCTATTGGGACTGGACCGCGAATCACCCAGCCCCCAGCCCTCCACCTAGTTGAGCTGTGCTAAACTGTACAGCCGTTACTACTCAGCTAATGAATTCAGCTTCTTGTGGGGACCACATGCATGAGCAGTGTGATTTCTCCAAATGTATTAGTGCTTTGAAAATGCCTCATTTTGGCAAGCAAAGTTGCTATTTGCTATTCAAGCTGTATCCTTGTTACACTTGATAAGATAGTTCAGAGAGATCATATAATTGCACGGATTTCTGCTACAATGATTGTAGAAGCCAAAAGCATTCCCTTGCAAATATAAAGTTTGGTTTCTGACAATTTTACCAGCAGAACTTCAAAATTATCTTTCCTTGACAATTGTCTGACATCTTGCCGGGAAACTTCAATTCTAGAAATGTAAACTGGGCACATGCAGAGCTGCAGGAAAATCTTTCAGTACTTTTTGTAACATTTGCCCAGTGTCTGCACTGAAAGACGGGCTTCACATGGATTTAAGGCAAGTATTTTGCACAGTTCTTATCGCTAAGCTATATAGATAAGCAAAATAAGCAATAAACTGTTTATGGATGAAAGCTGGGGCAAAGGAGCACCGTGTGTTCCCAGGCTGCATCAGGAGTTTTATTGCTTGTGATGGGAAGTTCCCGGGGGGAGGCCCCAGGGTGACAAACAGGGACACAGTGCCAAAGATGCAGCACAAGTCAGGTCACGCATCCGTATGGAACTGCAAGTTGTGTGAGCGGCTGTCTCCTCGTAAGAACTGAAGTCTCCTGAATTTCTCCGGGCGGTCCACCTGCCAACGCCAAGAGTGAATCTTTCCATTTGAAAAGAGCAGAAGAAGGTCTGGGGAGAGGAATAAAAAGCATTTCATTGTCATCTTAAGAGGCCTCCATTTAGTAATTTGCTAAAGGTAATTCTTGTCAGAGGCTGGGTGGGTTGGGCTGTTTCACTGCTGGTTTACGCCTGAGTCCAAATGCCACAGACAGTCTGAACGTGGAAAGGAGACGGTGGTTTCGTACCAGCCATCAGCGTTTATAGTGCAAATTTGGCTTCTCTGCTTAAGAGAGGCCACGGGCAGTGGTGGAAAGAATGTCAGTGACGCATGGACGGGCTTCCATGGGATGGGGCACCTGCATAGCACATTTCTTGGAGGATACTTGGCCACTACTGGCCTTCCTCAAAGTATTTTTTAGAGGGAAAATAATGTGATCAAGATTTGATCAGTCAGTTGAGTTGTGGTTTCAGCAATAAATTCCAGACAGCTGTTATTGTTTATCTAAGAGGTATTTGACCTGTAAAGTACAAATTTTAATTTTACATTAATTTTGAATTCTGTGCCTGAATGGCCACAGAGGGCACAAGCACAAATTTTCAGGCAGAGAAATGATAGGAGGTATAGCTATCAACATGGGTAAATCATGATCTCTTTAATGCATTGAAATTTGAGAAAGAAGCCTACAGAAAGTGGAAACAAATGATGAGTCGCAGAGGGATGTAAAGGAGAAGGAGGAGTCATTTTATGAATTCTTTACTGATAGGAGGAG